TTGCAAATACCCGAGAAATATCACGGACTCCAAGTCCCCACTCTTCCCGTCCTCCTTCTACAAGTCACGAATCCGAGCCCCCTCCCAGCCAGGAGAGTTCCCATAGGTCTTCTGTTCGAACTTCCCCTCCCCCGTCATCGCATCAGCAGCAAGGCCAGCAGCAGCAGTCAATGCAGGTGCAGAATCAAACACAGGGTCAGCAGACACAGCAGGTACCACAACAGCAGGCGCCGCAGCCATTGCCTCACCCAGGCATGCCCAAGGTATCTTATCTTCCTCGAAATTCCATATCTGCCGGAGAAACTCTTCAGGAGGAAACTTCGAACCCAGAGTCTGAGAATGAGCTCAGGGACTCCGTTCACGAAGGCATTTCCACTCTGGAGGAAGAGGGAAGTGCCGCCTGCGTTGTGTCATAGGCCAGCTGGAGCTACTGTTGGTCAAGTACTTTTTTTAAATTTTTTTTTAATATCCAAAGGCAATAATGAAAAGAATGCTACTAAACTTGCTCACAACTTTCGTGGTTTGTAATTTTTCTCACAATAGTGAAGATTTAAAGCAAAAGTAGAGTTGTATTAGCCAAATGACTGGTGCTTAATTTGGAAATCTTTGTAACTGCTTTGTTTAGTTGGCAAAAAGTAGTAGAGCATGTGTTGTAAACTGAGGGATTAAACATGTTGGCATTTTTCATATATAAGGGAAAGATTGTCAGTATTTTATGGATTTAATTAATCTGTTATTTGATAATGGATATTTCAGTTTGAAAGGTTACTTGACAGGAAGAGTTTATTTGGGATTGAGGTTCTGGTTTGACTAAATTTCTTATACTGTAAGGTTTGGAATCAGAATATAGGGAAGTCATTATAAAAAGAAGATTTCACCATTAACATAATTTCTTGCTTTGCGTAATTTATTTTCAATATTTTTAGAAGTTACATCTGAAAATATGAGCTTACACAACACAGTGTTGAATGGTAATGATAGATAAGAAAAAGAGCAGTTAGTTCTATTAAGAGTAGTATGATTCCATAACCAACCAGCTGTAGTTCTGCTGCAAGGCATTACTTGAGGGGCCAAGGAGAATATTATAGTCCATGTTATATATGAGCTTTAACCCATGTACATGTGTGTGATGTATTGATATTTTTTTCTTTAGAGGATAGAATTGTATTTAGGTAAATTTGATCTGTAACATATTTTATAGGAGCTGTAATACACATAGAAAATCTATATCTATCTATATATGTATGGGCTGGTCCTATCCACCATTGTTAGGGCCTTTAAGAGAGTAATTGTTACAATAATCAAGGATAGAATTTTAACTTTTTTCACATTTTACAGACTTATAGTTTAAATGTTGAAGCACAGGAGCAGGATATAGTGATATTGCCTAAATCTAACATGAAGGTTTATTTTTTCCTCAAAGTGTGTGCCTTGAGGATTCTATGAAGTGTTTGTAATTAAATTTTGTGGTGTAAAACTTTGTGGAGGTATGTGATATGTTGCTAGCAAGCAGGTTTTTGTTAATGTGGATTTGTCAAGAACCTGAAAAGTGAGATAAGAACCAGCATGATTCCAGTTGGCATATAGGGGGAGGTGTGCGCTAATTTTTAATGGGATTTTATGTGCATTTCTCTGAGGCAGAAAAGGATAGAGAGACAGTCCCTAAGGTGGGAAACCATAATGGAAAATAGGCATGTTTTGTACATCTTTTTATCAGGGAAGAAGCATGTTTTTTCTTATTTATTTCTTATTGAATTTCCCTCCAATAGGCTGAAGTCAAAATGAAACACATGGTCTCTTAATGCATTTAGAGACAGTAGGTTATGAATTGGATGACAAATATTTTAGATTTTGTACTAGAATGAAGGAGTTGTTAAACAGACACAGCAGTGAAAAATGATAAACTCACAGAGTCCTCTATTTAAATACAGTTTTTGTTAATAGGTAAAGGCTGTCAAATATATTGATGATAATGGCCCTATCTGGATGCAAAAGTTTGTCAAAGATAGTTAAAGATAGACAGTAGGAAGTATGGTTGCATGAATAAGTAAATGCATGTTGTGGGTGAAAAAGGTCTGTATGTATGGATGAATGGAGTAGAACAATTTATTAGGAGAATGCACTTTTACAATTGTATAAGAGATTATCTGATTATTTTGGACATGTTACGGTGTACTTATAGTGACAGATAGAAAATACTACACACGAAGAATAAGTGATTCAGCGTGATTATTAACGGAGAGTAGACCTCCAGTGGAAGATGGGAAGAATTAGAACTAACAGGGAAATTTTGTATAGGTTTTTAAAAGTTTTGGAATGATACCATTATCATTTGGAAGTTTAGTGATGCCAAACTATTTATTTTTTACAAAGGCGAATCCTGAGGTGAAATTCAGCATTAGTGTGTAAGAAAATGGGATATGTCAGCTTTTCTTACATGTTGTTTTTGGCCATGTGAATTTGGTGGCTCAGGTATTAAAAAAAAAAAAGGAAAAAAAAATCTAGATAACACATGATTGTGCCAAAGCTGTTTGAAAAACAGTTTCCCATTTGCTGTTGCATCCCTCATGTCATTTACATTAATAAAGTTATTTTTTGTGCTTTCTAGGTTTTGATGTGTAAATTCATTGTTTGGGGAATTCTTGCACTATCACATCTTACAGTTGACCAAGCATTAATAATTCAAATATAGATTTATCATGCATGCAAGTGGGACCTTTGTTTTGTATGGTATCTTTTTCCCATTGATTTCTATGTTCAGGTTCACTCCATTACAACCACTTAAGAAAGGCAGGCTTTAGACAACTCACAGGATAAGTTTATGATGTAAATGACAATGAGACACATATGATAGTTCTAGAATATCAGTTTTATTGCGTAAAAGAAAAGGTTTTGTAAAGAATATGAATGACAGTTTGAAGTTTCTGTTATTAAAGAATGTTATGATTAAACATAAACTTTTTTGTATTAGGTTTGATAAGAGAGAGTAGACAGAAAGCATGGGGATAACACTATTATAATAGATATAAAAAGTGATACTTCTTATTATTTTTTTTTTGTAATTGATATTACCAAAGAACTGTATTTAAGAATTTTTAAATCTTGTTTTTCTTATATAGAGATCTAGTCTTTGGACTGTGAATGTCTCTTAAAATATTAGAATAAAAGTATATATTTTCATAGTGCAAGTAAGGTGGTGACATGTTTTTTTTATTGTTTGTTCAGAGGGTTCATAAGATTTTTTTTTTCAAATTCAATACTGCATAACTTAAAAGATGAGTTTAGAAGGAAATTTGCTGCTGGAAAGCATTTTGATTTTTTTCTCAAATTCATTACAGTTAAATTTCATTTAAATTAAATTTCAAAAGCATTCATTAAACCTTTAAAGAAATGAAAGTATCAATCCCTTTTATTATTTATTAATATTGTTGCAAAATTAAATAAAAGTTTATTGAATATAGAACCTGTTGGTCACCTGCACTTGCTCCAAGATAAATACTGATTTCTTTGCTATTGGTTCTTGTCATTGTTTTAGGTAAGGCTTTGCTTCTTCAAGGGAAAAATATTAATATGTACTAATATTGTTTTGGTGAGGGTAGGACAGATACAGCACTGACATCAACACCAACTTAAGGTTACGTGTTATGTTTGTCTTAAAAACTCAATATTCATTCTCAGAACTAGATACCAAACAAATCATAAATATTGTGCCAACTGATGAATAAACAAGTTAAAAGGCCATTTTTTTTTTCTCTGGTACTTTTTACAAGTTGAAGTGCAAAATGGGTAGGTGATGTGTGTTTGGATGCTGAGGTTTTGATACAAGGCAGTGCACTAAAGCTATTATCAGTGATGGATGTGTGTAGTTTGAAATGCATTTATTACGTTAGTCTTCCATGAAATGCATTCTTATTATCATAGGAGATGATAGCTAGAATGGCTTTTTAATCATTTGAATGGCAAAAATTAAGCATAATTAATTTTTCTTGCAAATTTTCACCTTCAGGTATAGTAAGAGGTATAGTCTGGAAAGAAATAGTTTCATTTTATGAACTAAGGGAATGGTAGCTGATAGGGAATAGTAGAGGTAACTTTTCAAGTGTTGTATTTTTAATTCTTTTTTGATTATCAGGATGGGAAGCTATGACTAGGAATGGTGCAATGAACTTTTGAATTTATATTTGCAAAATACTTTTTCTCCTCTTAAATGTGCAGCAGTCCTTAAAGTACATATGCAGAATGAAGCCGGTTCCCTTTTTTTTATCATGTAGATGCTGATTTTTTTCCCTCCAGTTTTTATCAGAGGGAGAACAGTTCTCTCATGGCTTAAAAAAGGGAAACTTAAGGTTTTTAAGAATATTTTAAGAATATTGAAATTCAGAAAAAGTATATTGCTTACTCTTGATTTTGTGTGGTTGTTTAAATGGTTTAGTATGCATATTCTCAATTTTGTTCATATATTGTTTGGTTTGTTGGTTGGGAATGTGGTAATGCATTTTGAGATTGTGTGTAAAAAAAAAAGAAAAAAAAAATGTTTGCGAGCTTTCAGCACATGGTATTGTTTATTTTAATGTTTGTATAGTGCAAGCTATCTCCAAGGACGTATACTGTTTGTCTCCAAAGTGTGAGATTGATTGTGTGTCTGCCTCTTCACTGTGATAAATGCCACTCTCAATTTAACCCATTTGTCCTCCACTGTTTGAAGGAAAGAAAGAAAGAAAGAAAGAAAGAAAGAAAGAAAGAAAGAAAGAAAGAAAGGGGAAAACGTGTGTTTGGTTTTGTATGTGAAATATTTCTTGTTTTACATACATACATACATACATACATACATACATACATACATACATACATACATACATACATACATACATACATACATACATACATACATACATACATACATACATACATACATACATACATACATACATACATACATACATACATACATACATACATACATACATACATACATACATACATACATACATACATACATACATACATACATACATACATACATACATACATACATACATACATACATACATACATACATACATACATACATACATACATACATACATACATACATACATACATACATACATACATACATACATACATACATACATACATACATACATACATACATACATACATACATACATACATACATACATACATACATACATACATACATACATACATACATACATACATACATACATACATACATACATACATACATACATACATACATACATACATACATACATACATACATACATACATACATACATACATACATACATACATACATACATACATACATACATACATACATACATACATACATACATACATACATACATACATACATACATACATACATACATACATACATACATACATACATACATACATACATACATACATACATACATACATACATACATACATACATACATACATACATACATACATACATACATACATACATACATACATACATACATACATACATACATACATACATACATACATACATACATACATACATACATACATACATACATACATACATACATACATACATACATACATACATACATACATACATACATACATACATACATACATACATACATACATACATACATACATACATACATACATACATACATACATACATACATACATACATACATACATACATACATACATACATACATACATACATACATACATACATACATACATACATACATACATACATACATACATACATACATACATACATACATACATACATACATACATACATACATACATACATACATACATACATACATACATACATACATACATACATACATACATACATACATACATACATACATACATACATACATACATACATACATACATACATACATACATACATACATACATACATACATACATACATACATACATACATACATACATACATACATACATACATACATACATACATACATACATACATACATACATACATACATACATACATACATACATACATACATACATACATACATACATACATACATACATACATACATACATACATACATACATACATACATACATACATACATACATACATACATACATACATACATACATACATACATACATACATACATACATACATACATACATACATACATACATACATACATACATACATACATACATACATACATACATACATACATACATACATACATACATACATACATACATACATACATACATCTTGTGTTTGTATATTCCAAATTCAGGGAGATGGAAATTAAGCATGAAACATGTTAGCAGCCTAATAAAGGGTCTTGTATGTAAATTGACTTGATTTTTGTACAGTGTATATAGTTACTCTTTTGTGATTTTTTTTTCTCCAGGCTCTGGTGGGAGCTGTTGAAACACAGCCATTGTGGTTTCCCTTAATTGAATTGTCAGTGTTTAAAAATTATTCTTTCATGTATAATTTGATGACATCAGAAATCACATACTGGCACTCAATCTATCACACTTACATTCACACTCAGACATCCACATTCCCTTTACACTTGCACATATACTCTTGCACTCACACTCACACTCACAACCACACTCAATGCTCATACTTACTCAATGCTCACACTTACTCAATGCTCACACTTACACTTGCATGTACACATACCTTACACTTACACTTACATGTACATATAACATGTGTGCATGCACACACAAACACACACACAAACACACACACATACACTCACTCACTGACTCACTGACTGACTGACTCACTCACTTACTCACTCACTCACTCACTCACTCACTCACTCACTCACTCACTCACTCTCTCACTCACTCACTCACTCACTCACTCACTCACTCACTCACTCACTCACTCTCTCTCTCTCTCTCTCTCTCTCTCTCTCTCTCTCTCTCTCACACACACACACACACACACACACACACACACACACACACACACACACACACACACACACACACACACACACACACACACACACACACACACACACACACACACACACACTCATACATTTATACATACATACATACATACATACGCACACGCACAGGCGCACACACACACACTCTCACACAAATATACATATACATACTGTATGTAGTAATTACTGTTAAGATTGAAAAAGTGTTGGAGTTTAGAATGTAGAATAACCATTTTAGAGTATTTATACTACAATTATGTTTTGAAAATTGTGAAATATGATGAGTGCTCATTTAATCATTTCGAAAGTGCATGTGTTTCATGGTGTAAAGTAGGTAACTAGTGGTTACACAATAATGAATTCAGTAGTTTAAAAAGTACAGTATTTTCAAGATAAAAGGGTTATTGTAGATGTTTGTGTTATGTTGGTTATATGGTACCAGAGGAAAAGTGTTTAATCATATTTTCCTTGGATAGAGATAAAGAATGGT